CGTTTTATCAATTTTTGAAAAATCAAGAAAAAAGTGAAAATTTCCCTTCTCGCTACCTTAAGAGCTCCCATTTACGATAGTGATACTTTGTGTGAAGGGTTCTTGGGTTGACCTTCATGAGATTTGTAACAAGACTGGTTTTTTAATGTAATTGCCATGGAAACAACCAAATAAACTGCTTGTGATATGGCCAGAACATTGTTGAAACACTTATAACCATGGAAATAGTTAATAATATCTCATTGTACAGAACATTATCAACTGTATTTTTTATGGATCAAATTCGATTGTTGCTTGCTCAAAATATGAATGCATATTCCAAAAATTAGTTTTTTGGTCACTGTTTCAAGCATATATCATTTTTATTCAGACCTGACAACTTGTGTGCCCGGTTACTTTCAATGCCTTAGTGGTCACTGTGTTCCTGATAGCTATGTATGCAATGGGGATAAAGATTGTAGAGATGATGCTTCTGATGAAATTGACTGTCGTAAGTATATCGTTCCTCTCACTTGATATTTTCTGTTGCTATTTTACTTTTCAGCCAATGGATAAAAGAAACTTGAAGAAGTACTTTGCACAATTTTCTTTTTACTTCTATATGTTTTTGCTAAAGTGAGAGAATTTGTAAGGACATAATTTTAAGAATTAAATCACTGTCTGAATGCTTTCAAATAACAGCTGATTGCTACAAGTTTTGCAGGTTTTTCTGTCTCACAAAATTCTCATACATTTATTACTTTGATATTATGAGTGCCTTTATACAGTAAATTAATAACAGAGTCAATCAGTAACTGAGCCAATTTCTAAATATTTTATAAAAAATCACATATGGAGCCAAACATTTCAGTTATAAAATCTCAAATGAAATTTTATTTTCATTTTTTCACATCATTATTTTGCACTTTATGTATTTTTCCTATAATTTGTTTGTAAAATTTTGACCAAATGGATATAATTTCTCTTTGGCTATTGAGCTTAATTTCAATTATTTAAAAAAAAATTTTGAAAATTTCTTACGTGTGTAAGCTGACAAAAATTGCTTTTTGCAGAGCAAAAGGTGAAAAGGGAGGGAGTACAGTATGTAGTCATTTTTTTTTTTAATATTACAAAGCACCCCGCTATCCAGATGGAAGGTACTGCCCAGCCAATAAGTTTCAGTGCAGCAATACAGTCTGTGTTCCATTACCATGGCGATGTGATGGTGATAATGACTGTGGTGATGGGTCGGATGAGACAGATATGATCTGTGGTAAGATTAAATTTTTTTTTATTTTGCTCGTTTGAGCTACATTCAAGTGATATACATTATGTACCTTTAGCTGTATCTGATTATGTTCATCATATCCAACATAGGGAGCCCTGTGGCAACTTCGGCCAGTCCCATTCAGTTGTTATACTCACATACTCCCTAGGATTAGAATCATAATCTATTTTTTTCAAAACAGCTGAAATAGACTGTCCTGAAAGCTCCAGATTTCGATGCAACAATAATAGGTGTATTCCAAGATGGCGACTTTGTGATGGTGTTGACAATTGTGGTGATGCCAGTGATGAAAATACGCATTATATGTGTGAGTATTCAGATATACATTTGTATTATCCACGAATATGCATATGAGCACCAAAAACTAGGTGAAAGTTGATTGCTGTGTTTTCATGGTTGCACTAGTGGCTGGTAGTCATAACAGTTTTGTGTTTGATTTTTCGAATTCGTTTCGAGCCAGAATTCACAAAATAATAATACATCTGTTTTGATATTTTAGGTGAACCAGAGATTCGAGACTGCACCCTTGACGAATTTAAATGTTCTAATAAACGCTGTGTTTCAGTATTTAGTGTCTGTGATACATTTGATGACTGTGGGGATCAAAGTGATGAGGCTGGTTGCCGTAAGTTTTAAAAAGGGTTTATCATCAAGCTTTTTATTTTTATAACTTATTTAAATTACCTCAGTTATATGAAATCATGTTACAATTTCATGTTTAAAAATTATGTTAAAATGAAAACTTCAATATAGTTTTTTGTTTCCCTTGACTGAAACAAAATAACCTCTGTGTTGGCAATTATATGTATTTATTACTCCATACAATTGATACAGTATATTGTTAAGAAATATTTGAAAAGACGAGTCATAAAATTTCGCCGTTTCTTTACAGATAAAACTGGTCAAACATTGAATGAATGCCTGGTTAATAATGGCGGCTGCGAACTCCATTGCCTGGATATAGCCGATGGTTTTCTCTGTAGTTGTGGTGATGGCTACCAAGCTGTGCCTGGTAACAAGAGGTCTTGTAGAGGTTAGAAACTTTATTTTTTTGGACACATTTTAAAATATTTTCTTGCAGAGCTCGAAATTCACAATTTGAAGTCATGTCAAGATCAAAGCTCAGTGATTCAATTTTTGAATGTTCTTAAACTTGAAGTGCAACCTAAATTCTGCTGTCCATTTTTTTTTTTTTTTTTTTTGAACATTTTCCTGACCAATACTGTGACAGTGGGACATCTCAAAACATTAACATGCTTCATTTGATGTCGCCGACCACGAGTATTTATGCAGACTGCTGTGTATTTGAAAGAGTTGACCAGCAGACAACATATCAACAATCCAAAAATAGCGGTCATTGTACAGAACAGCTTTATTAGCATAATCTAAAAATAGCATAGTTACCAAGTAACATAGAGGGCGCTGTTGTGCAGAAGCAAGATGTGATTTCAATAATTTGATATGTGCATTTTAGTTTTCTGAAAAAAATTAGGAAATTGATCATCATTTGGAAAGTACAAAATGGTATGGGAAACGTATTTTAAAACAAAAATCAGTGTACACAGTTCACATTGTTCGAGACAATTAATATTTCGAATGTGGAAAGGTGAAGGCCAATTGAGGTCAAAGGTCATCGATTGGAAAAGCCATATTTAGTAATTTCATTAACTGGTTTATTCTAGATGTAAATGAATGTTTGGAGCCGACTTGTATGCAGGTATGTTTGAATAACAAGGGTGGATATCATTGTGGGTGTTCAAGTGGCTATTTAGATGAATACCGGAACGGATCACACTGTAGGGCTTCAGGTAAGTGTTCTTAAACTTCACAGCTGAATTTGAGAATGTTGTCAGGAAAGCAAAATTACCAACCACATTCAATATTTTTCATATGATAATATGAATTCTGAATATCATAAAGTTGTCTAAACCAAATATATTTACTATATGTCTATAAGTGTAAAAGGCCTCTAAACATGTCTGTATCCTGAACATCTCTGTAAATTGTAATTACTCTCCTGTAACCTGAACTCCTCTCAGTAACCAGAACACCTCTGTGACCCAAACACCTCTATGTGACCCCGAACATCTCTCTGTGACCCGAACACCTCTCTGTAATCCAAACTCCTCTCTGTGACCCGAACATCTGTCTGTGACCCGAACATCTGTCTGTGACCCGAACAGCTGTCTGTGACCCAAA